CCTCCCCATCCTCCCTTCTCTCCCGACTTACATATGGCACTGGTGGTGACACATCGGCCCATCGCGTCCCCTGAGCTCGCCCAGGCCGATGGACGCGCTCGGTGTCGACGAGGCCGAGGGCGGCCTCCGCGGCAGCGCCCACCACGGCGGCGGGCCAGATGGCAGCTCGGACTCAGACCCTGACGTTGCCGGCCGGTCGGCCGATGACCTCGAAGATCCGTGGGGCCCGCCCGAAGCCAATGGCCGCGCTGCCTCGCCATCGCTCGGAAGTCCATTCCTCGTGCATTTTTCGGTGTCGCGCGTGTGCAGTGTCGCAAGATGATCAAACGATGCGAAAAAATACCATTTGTGGAAAAGCATAGCCCCACTTGAATGTCATGCATGCCACCACCGCCAGGCAACAGAAAACGCGATACAGCATTGCTCCGTCACGTGGAGGAGGGGTGGGATGACGAGGGCGAGGGTGCAGGGGCCGTTCTCTCTCTCTCTCTCTGTCTCTCTCTCTCTCTCTCTCTCTCTCTTTCTATGACGCATCTGGCTCTGTAAATCAATGCTCGAAGGTGTGATCTGCACTGGGGGGATATCCGAGTGGGCATGGCCATACCTTGGCGGCTGAAGGCCGGACGCGCGCTGGCTTGGAGCCTGGGCTGGGTGCGCCACCGCCTTGGAGTCGTCCTCCTCCTTGCGCTCGGCGGTATTTCGCCCCGAGTCAGGTCTGCAATTTCGCTCGACTTTGCCACACCGTAGCTTCTGGGATCATCGTCATCGTAATCGTCATCATCATGATCTCCATCCTCGCCATGCTCATATCGTCGTCATCATCACCGGCATCCTCACATCACTATGTTCCCCATCATCCTCATGCGCTTCCCCATACTCATCCTCAACCGCATCATACCCCCCTCATCATCGTACACCCTCTCAACGCCGCCATCACAACCACCATGGCACCATCACTGGATCATCACCATGACTACCACACACACCAGTGTTCCAGCTCATTATGGTGATCCTCATTCTGATCCTTCACTTCCTCGCGCTGGCACCGGCGGGGAGCCAAGCTACAGCTCTCTCGGGGTCGCCCTTGGCGGCGCAGCGGCATATCGCGTCGCCGAAATCCTCGTACGGCGCAGGAAACACAAACCGCAAGGCGGCGCCCGCAGAAGAGGAGAAGGAGCAGCAGCAGCAACAGCGACTGAGCAGCAGCGGTGGAAGCACCTCTGGCAGCAGCAGCTGCGTTGGCAACTGCAGCAACATCGACAACGACGTAAGCGGCAGGCGGCAGCGGAGCGATCAGATAGAACAAGCAAGAAAGGATGAGAGGGGAGTGGAAGGAGGACGGCGACGACGAACGGGAGAATTGCGAGGCGGGCAACGAGAGGGGGAGGTGAGAGGGGATTAAGAAGATGACTGAGGGAAGTAGAGGCACAGGATGGGGGAGGGGGGGGGAGGAGGGCGAGGGGCAAGGGGAGGAGGCACGGTGTGGCAGGGGGTGGGGAGGGACTTCCCTGAGACTCTCTTCCGCGTGGACAGTCCTCTGGGGTGATGCCCTTCGAAGGCCAGGCCCGCCAGCGCGGTGGGATCCCAGGGCACCAGCTGTGAGGCGAGCCGCGGGCTGCAAGCCCCACCCGCAGGCGGAGGGCGAGGAGGGGCGATCGGTTCCCGATCGCTGTGAAAGCCTGTGGATCTTCAGTGGAAGACGGAAGCAACTGCACAAACATCAACTGTTGGCGCTCCGCGCGGAGTTCTTGGAGCTGCGCTGGGCACTCCCGGCGGCGCCTCCGGCGCCGCCCCTCGCGCACTCCGCTCGCCAAAGATGGGTCTCGACTCCGATCCAAGACATCCACGCGGAGCTCCGCAAGCTAATGCTTATGCGATTTGTTCTTCGATCCTCAGCGTGGTACCGCGCCGCTTCAATGTTCGAATGGGTACAGTCCTCCCCCACGCTCCTGAGATACCCAAGGGGATGGTGGAGGTGAGGTGGCCATGCTTCGACGGAGTAAGCACACGCAGTGTTCCTGCATTGCTTTGAACGTGCGGTCGTGCTGTGCAGAACGCGTCCCAGGACCTGCCGCTTCAGGGGGCGGCGCCGAATGCCCTGGGATCCCTCGACGTCGCTTGAGCAAAGGTTTGACTGACGGGCCAACACGTTTGCAGGAGGGGCATGCCACAGCGGCGGGGTCCGGAGCACCGCGCGGCCGCGCGCGCGGATCCGGCGCGCCCCCCCGCACGTGACGTGGCCCCCTCATACTGCAGCCGCCCCTGCGATCCCAGGGCAGGGCCCCGGAGCCGACCCCGTCTCGCGGCGGGCCTGGCACCCCCGTCTTGGAGCAGCCCACGCACCACTGCAGGCAGCGGCGCCCTGGCCCCGCGGCCGGCGCGACCCCTCCCTGGCCGGCACCTCGGGGAAAAAAACACGGACCACGGCAGGCAGCAGATGATCGAGGGGGCCACAGCCCCCCCCTCGCCCCTGGCCGCTGGCGGCACGGGGGCGGAAAGC